ACGTCTCACTCACCATAAATTTTAAAAGCATAATAAGCTTTCAAGTCTCTGGGAGCCATTTCACTGAGCACTGAAAACATATCCAAAAAATCATCCAGAGTCATGCTACCATCTCCACGCTCCGAGAAGACCTCTGCGATGCGCTGCCGGAACGGGTTGTCCTGGGAGACAGAGCACAGGAGCAAGGGAAGGTCATCCTGCCTAGCATTGATTTCAGTGAAGAGAAAGCAATTGCAATGAGATTATTTTGGTTGTAACCCCTTTTTTTGTAAGCTGTGTCTTTGCCCTGTGTCAGAGACAGACCCGGTGCGATTTCTGGGGGTTTGTTGGGAAGGACTAGAAGCTTCCAGAAAGAGTTTTGTCTTTGCTAGCCTAGCTATATTTTTCAGGCAGCCTGCCAGCAATTAGTCGTGGATGAATTATTAAGAGGGGTACCTTCAGCTCTGGCATGCTGCTGATGAGCTCGTAGGGCAGCGTCACGGCTGGGTTACGCGTGTAGTCGAGGGGAACGAGCTGCGGCGCCAGGTCTCGGTACCTGTCGAACAGCCTGGGACAGAGAGGAAGGCTCAATCTGGGGAACAAATCCTTTACACCTCTGAGGACATTGTGTTTGCCTTTTCCACCTCACTTTTCATAGAGTCATTGGATCTTAAGGGGTTGGAATGGTGTTTAGGGATCATTCAGTCCCAACCCCCTGCCCTGGGCAGGGACACCTCCCACCAGAGCAGGTTGCTCAAGGTTTTATCCAACCTGGAATGAACATTACCAGGGTTGGGGCAGCCACAGCCTCCCTGGGCAACCTGGGACAGTGTCTCACCACCCTCACGGGGAAAACTTCTGCCTAAGATCTAACCTAATTTTTCCCTCTTTCAATCTGTCCCTATTTCCCCTTGTCCTGTCCCTGCAGTTCCTAACACAGATCCCTCTGCAGCTTCCCTGGAGTCCCTTCAGCTCCTGGAAGATGCTCTGAGGTCTCCACACAACCTTCTCTTCTCCAGGCTGAACAGTCCCAACTCCCTCAGCCTGTCCTCATAGAGGAGATGCTCCAATCCTTTTATCCACTTCATGGCCTCTTTTGGACTTGCTCCAACAGTTCCAACAAGTTTTCACACTTTGTCCTTCACCACAGATCAGTCACTAAGTAACATTTGGCGTGTCCGTAGTGAAAGAAACAGTATTAAACAGAGCAATACAGTGTAAGTGATGGAAAACACAAAGGCTTAATTATGGAACAATTAGGTGAAAGTGCTGACACAGCTCATGCAGCCAAACCCCAAATACTGAGGCTCTGAAACCAGAGCTGGATAGTTTCAGATTCATTGTGCATTGTCAAAGCAATCTTCAGGCATGTGGTGGCACTGGGGGCTGTGTGTTCCTGATAACAAGGCATGAGACCTTCAGCCTGAAGGTTCTCCTGATGGGTTTCCAAGCACAGAAAGGTTCAGGCAGGCCAGAAGGGATCTGTGTGCACAGTCACTGTGATCAGAAATAACAGGCTGGAACTGGAGCATGAAAAACACAGTTTAAACCTCAGAATAAAACCTAAAGCCATGGGCAGGGGGAGAGGTCTGGGATCAACCCTCAGGGCAGGCTCAGAGCAATCTTTCAGTGTCTGATGGAGCTACAGGGACTCTGTGTTAGGAGCTGCAGGAATAGGGCAAGGAGCAATGGGGACAAACTGAAAGAGGGAAAAATTAGGTTAGATTTTAGGCAGAAGTTTTCCCTATGAGGGTGGTGAGACACTGGCACAGACTGCCCAGGGAGGCTGTGGCTGCCCCAACCCTGGCAATGTTCATTCCAGGCTGGATTTGCCTTGAGCAACCTGCTCTGGTGGGAGGTGTCCCTGCCCAGGGGTTTGGGGCTGGATCATCTCTAAGCTCCATCCCAACCCCTAAAACTCTGTGATTCTATGAACCCTAGCAGTCTTTTATTCCCCTCATGGATCTTTCTGTTTTCCCACAGAACTCGGGTTCAAGAGACAGAAAATGTGTCCAAGGATTGGAATGTGCTCACCACTTTTTCAGCTTGCATTGGCTTCATTCTTGTGCTGGAGAAAGGATCCCATTCACAGCTGTTATCCACAAACAATAGCACAGAATTTTAAAGGGGATCCTTATCAATAATAAATGTCTTATTCAAGACACAGTTATGGTTCTGGCCTCAGTTTCCTTTGAGGAAAGGAGGCAGATTCAGATTTCAGTTATTACAGATCAATTTCTATCTCACCCTGTCTAGAATTCATACACGGATATACAAAACTGTCACTTGTGCTCTGCCCTTTGGAGCAACTGGGAAAAAACATGTGTGATGACATCTTGAGAGCCACAGAAACAGAACAGTTCCCTCTCTGTTCGTGTGCCCAAGGGTTTAGGGATGGCAAACACAGCTCCAATATTGTGTGTGTGTTATCATCTGGGTGAGGAAAACAAGTTGAGGTGTTCAGTGATGACTCTCAGTCCCACCTGAACAGGATCCTGAGCCTGATCCCTTGGCCAGAGGTGAAATGGAGTGTTCCTTGGGGAAAATGCACCTTGGAGCATCAGGGCAATTATTTACAAGGAAATGTGAAGAAAACTTGACACGATCATTAAGGATTTATGAAAATCAGGCAAAGTATCCCAAAGAATAACAATACACTCTGAAGCATCTGTCTAGAACAAGGTGAGCTGAACATGTCCTATGCACTAAAACATCATTTGTTACATTCACTTCTGGTAAGTAAAGAGGGATAAGTCCATTAATACAAAATTCAGGATAGATAACACATAAAAAACTGACAAAAATGCTCAGATTGCCCAAAGGCATCACTTTAAAAAGAACTTTACAACTGATTTCCACAAGTTTAAAGCACCTCAGGGTAGATGTCACCTGCCTGATAGCAATCCCTGTCCTTCACCCACCACATGCACACAGAAAACTCACCTCAGGATTTCCTTCCTAGTGAAGAACGTGCAGTCCTACAAAAAATAAGGAAAAGAATAACATGTCCTGTCAGTTTTCAGCACCATCAGCCCAAAACTTTGCCCATGCAGTGACTTAAATGAAGTTACATTGCAATATATGTGCAAGCATGAAATCTTTTTTTTTTTTTTTTTGCCATGCAACGAGGAGCATTTTATAACCCAATTTTTAAATGTAAAAACCTAACTACGTTACAAAAATATTTGCTGTACTTTAGCACTTCTACCTAATAACTTTGAAAACAGACAGTTTTAAAAAGAAAACCCTTTGCCCTTAGCCAATGCTCTGCCCCAATTAGTTGGGTTTATACCTGATATGCATCCAGCTGCTCTTGAGTGAAAACCGTTTGCTTGTTGCCCATTTCAAGCTGGGAATGACAACTCCTGTCCCATCCTCCTGTCCTCACAGGCACCTTTATAGGTGCTCTGGATATTCAGTTATGAAAAGCTGCAACAATGAGGTTCAGGTAGAGCAGAGGATCAGGTAACCAACTTCCACAGGCTGCGAAGTGTCAGAAGAGGAGCATTTCATCAAATCTTTAGTCTGGCTGCTGGAGGCTCTGACCTGTCTCCTGTGAGCACCACCAAGACTCAGGTTACAGGATTGGGCCAAGCAACTAATTGCTGCTCGTTAGTGTCTCTGGAGCAGCAGGTGGATTGTGCTTTTTCATGTAAATGAACTGAAAAGTGTCGGAAGTGTTTTCCTTCCTTACAAATTAACACTGGAAGGATGGAAATTTGGCAACCTTCCTCCTTTCCTTCTTAGAATCAGAGAGTCAGCAAGGTTGGAGGAGACCTCGAAGGTCATCAAGTCCAACCCTTAATCTGTCACTCCTGGAACCCCTAAATCATATCCTCCAGCACCAGATCCAGATGCCTCTCAAACACCTCCAGGGATGGTGACTCCACCACCTCCCTGGGCAATATTCCAGTGCCTGAACACCCTAAGAAGGAAAACATTTCTCCTAACACCCAATCTGACTCTGCCCTGGCTCAGCTCAAGGCCATTCCCTCTATCCTCTCCCTGCAGCCAGGGCAGGAGAGACATCTCCCACCTCTCTCCAACCCTGGCAGGGAGTTGCAGAGAGGACTCATTAAGGCTGGAAAAACCCTCAGGGATCATCAAGCCCAACCACTAACCCATGTTCACCACCAACCATATCCTCAAGTGCCACATCCACATGTGTTTGGACACTTCCAGGGGTGGTGACTCCACTGGGCAGTGCCAATATTGTCCCTCAGTGCACAGTAGTAGTTTGTACTATTAGCATCCATAGTAGTATCCAAAGTATTTATAAAGTCCTTTCAGAGCAACTGGCAAAAACATGTGTGACAAACACCTTGGGAGCCACAGAAATAGGACAGTTCCCTTTCTGTGCATGGAGTATCTGTAGAGTCCTTTTCACTCTGTGTTCTGCAGTCCATTTTATCCTGCATTTATCCTGCATTATCTGCTAATGTGGTACTACCAATTAATGGTTATTAGCACTACATTGGCCTGGATCAGGAACAGTGTGGTCAGCAGGACCAGGGAGGTGATTCTGCCCCTGCACTCGGTGCTGGTGAGGCCACACCTTGAATCCTGTGCTCAGTTCTGGGCCCCTCAGTTCAGGAAGGATATTGAGGGGCTGGAGCAGGTCCAGAGTAGAGCAACGAGGCTGGGGAAGGGACTGGAGCACAAGTGCCATGAGGAGAGGCTGAGGGAGCTGGGGGTGTTCAGCCTGGAGAAGAGGAGGCTCAGGGGAGACCTTCTCACCCTCTGCAACTCCCTGACAGGAGGTTGGAGTCAGGTGGGGGTTGGTCTCTTCTCCCAGGCAACCAGCAGCAGGACAAGAGGGCACAGACTCAAGCTCTGCCAGGGGAGGGTTAGGTTGGATATTAGGAAGAGATTTTTTCAGGGAGAGTGCTCAGGCATTGGAATGTGCTGCCCAGGGAGGTGGTGGATTCACCATCCCTGGAGGTTTTCAAGGTGAGACTGGATGTGGCACTTAGTGCCATGGTCTGGTAACCATGGTAGGGTTGGACTCTATGATCTTTGCGGTCTCTTCCAACCTGGTTGATTCTATGATTCCATCCATGTTTGCCCTTTACACTGGCAATAGGTGCAAGTACATAGTCCAGACCCCGAGCAGAACTGCAGTGCTCGAGGCTGTCCAGAGATGCAAACCAGAGGAGCAGAAGAGGCTGCAGAGCTGGGGCTGTGTCGTGGGGCCGTGACAGCCCTAGCGCTCGGTCTGGCTGGGCAGCTCCATCCAGGGATGAGGCACAGGGCACTTCGAACAGCAAAAACCACTGGCGATGGCTCTGCGCATCCCAGTTCCCCGAGGGGGCGGACGGGGATCATTCTGGTCCCAGTTCCCCTCCCCGATGGGGTGGACACTCCTCGCGGAACGCGC